AAAGAGTTGGATGATTGAATTGCCGGGTTTTGGCTCAAAAGAAATTTATCAAACCTTTGAGTAAGATTTTTGACTTCGGCGGCAATTTCCATGGAACTTTCCACTTGAGAAAGACTGGAGGTTTTCTTCCCTCTTTCATTCAAGTTTTGGCCAAATTGGGACGATGAAGAACGATGCATTGAATTTTCGCTCATGCGATGAAAAAGATGCCACACATCGTCTTTATTTTTGTCCAAATAGGCTCCTCCACATGAAGCATCAACCATATCTTTTTGGGTATCGGATAAGCTTTCATAGAAGCAACGAACTAATTGCCACTTAGGAATGTTGTGATGTGGACACTTCCGTAGCAAATCGTTCAAACGCTCCCATGCTTCATGCAAAGGTTCTCCCTCATTTTGGGAGGATTCACGGATAGAAGCTCTCATAGCATCGGTTCTACTTGCGGGGTAAAATTTTTTTAGGAATTCATATTGTAGTTGAGCCCAAGATGTGATTGAATTTGCCCTCAAGTTATTGAACCAATATTTAGCCTTTTCCCGACTAGTGAAAGGGAAAAGCTTCATTTTTAAGACTTCTTCCGGAAGGTCTGTGATTTTCACGGTTGAACAAACTTCCAAAAACTCATCCAAATGTTTATATGGTTCTTCATGGTTTACCCCATAGAAAATGGGGAACATTTGGATGGTTGCGGGTTTAATTTCATAATGGGTTGCCTGAAAGTTTGGCAACCGGATGCATGTTGATACATTGTATACATTGGGAGTGTAGTGATCCCGAAGAGATAATTGATGATTGGGGGGATTCACTACATGATCTTGAAGATGGATTGGCATTATTGGAGGTTTTTGCACTTGATTGGGTTGTGGCAACACATTAGGATGGGGAATTCTCAAAGGTGGATGCACACCTTGAGGTGGATGCCCATTAAACAATGTGATAGCCTCGACAAGGGCTATCTCGCAAGCATGTAGAGAATTGAACAATTATAGTAAAAGAAATTCAAGGAAGCTCACAAAAGTCTGTAGCAACAATGTCACAATGGTGCCAATATCCAATGCTTGCTCCTCTTCTTTTCAAGTACCTAATTGAACAAGAGGGATTTGTAAGAAAATAGTAATTTAAAGAAAACAATCAAATTAGCCCTAATGCCTAATTCAATTCCAACTAAACCGTCAATCCCCGGCAACGGCGCCAAAATTATGATGCGACCCGAGCGTGTGCACAAAATAATGCACAACACTTTGGTTTTGGAAATGGTATCAAGCGGGCATCATAGTTTATATTTATAAACCGCTAGACACTTATACTATGTAGTATGAAGTGAGAAGGGATCGAACCCAATGGATTGAACACGTGTTGGGATTAAACTTGGTTTTAAAGTTAATTAGATTGTAAAAGAGAGAAAAGAGAGAGAAAGAGTGTGAGAGAAAAAGATTTTGGTGGAGTGATTAAACTAGAATTCAATTGAAAGCATGGAAATAGAAATGACAATGCAAGTAAATTAAACTAAGAATTTAAGAGATAGGAAGAGAGTCTTAGGGTTAGGATTCACCACTAAGCTCATGCAATTAACCACATGCTTTCAATTAATGGGGAATTCATTAGTGTAATTATAGATGCCACATTATCATTACAAATCACAATTGTAAGCATAGATTATCAACATCAAGAATGAGTTGTCTACTTAATGACAATTAAACTAAAATGTAGAACCCATTCAAGACTACGTCATAACCCACCATACATATTCACAAATGTATCAAATAAGAGCACACATCAATCAAGAGAATAATACTAATTGTAATTAGAAGCATGGATTAACATAATCAAGCACAAATTGCCTACTTAACTACAATTAACTAATAACAAGAAAGCTAATTTGTAGAACAACCCATCAAGATTAAGCCTTTATCCATCAAATTAATTCACAATTGTATCAAATAAGTATCATGCTATGGCCATCACTAAACACAACTACAAAAAATATTTAATGTAGAATATAATCCTAAAGCAATCACACATAGACATGCAAATTACATATAGAATTAATGAAAGAATTAAGTTCTAATCATCTAATGAAGAATAAAATCCCTAATTAATCATACATAGACATACAATCAATTGGAGATTTCAATGAAAGAATTCATCCATACAAATCCTAATTTATCAAATCAAGCGTGTATATATAAAGAAATCACAAGGCCATAAAATTTAATTACAACATAATAATTCCCCAAGAAAAGAAATACAAAGGTTAGGGTTACTTGAACTTAGGGCTCATCCAGGCCCTAAGTGAAGAACTAGCTCATGGAGAAGATGACCATGGTGTTAACAAGCTCCATCTCCATCTTTTGGCTCTTTTTTCTTCTTCCTTCAATTGTAGACAAAGCCTCTGTAAAAATGTTCTTCAAACCCTAACTTTTCCTTTTTTCCAGAGAGAACGTTATATCACGGTACAGAAAAAAAATAATAAAACTTCATTCTTCAAATAATAAATCACTAAACTAATAAATACTAACCCTAAAAACAATGGGCCTCACTGGGCTTAAGTAATAAACCTATTAAAGCCCACTAGGTTACAAAATAAGCCCAAACATTAAAATAAAAATATGCAATGTTGCCAAGTCCTGGGGGATTGATCCCCCAGAGTTGGAAAATTCCTTTAAGCCTTATTCAGCTCCATTTTTGCCCCGGGTTATTTGGTTTGCTTCTCCATCTTTGGGAACATCATCAAAGGCCCGAGATTGACCGCTTTGTGCCATTTTCTAAAAATCTTTGCTTAACTCCAAAAAGGCTTAATTGGACCGTTCTTAACTCATTTTAACTTTATTGCCCTGAAATACACATAAACATAAATTAGGACTAAAACATAAACTTAAGATAGATGCAAAGACTGAAATATCCTAACTTATGTGCTGAAATGTGCAATATTTAAGCACTTATCATAGAGCTTGTTCGTGCTGAGCAGAGACAACTTCTCATCCTTCCGATGACGTATGAGTTTCTTCGGGATTTAGCATTGGAGTTCTTCAGTTGTTGTTTTCAGTGTTGGAGTTTATTAGGGGTCCACCAGATGGATGCCCAAGTTGTTTTAGAAATGTAGAATTTGGATGTATCAGAATAATTCTTTATTAATAAAATTTTATTATGAGGTTTCAGTAGTTGGATTATCATTCTAATTTCTTTTCAGCAATTTATTTATTCCTGTTTTCTTAATTGTATTTTGTATTCGTTTATTACTAATTGATTTGATATCCTCGGGTAATCGGGCGTGGGCCTAGCCAACTCGCATCCGAAAATCCGGGGGTATCACATTTGTGCTCTCAAAAATAAATTCAGAATAATCAGATTTGATTTTCTGAATTTTTATCTCTAAAGGCTTTCTCAAAATATAAAATTGATTTTTCCTAAAGCCATAAAATAAACTTAGATGACTACCAAGGTTTATATAGAGTTTAGAATGTCCTATTCCTTCTGAAAATATGAAAAATTTCGTGCATAGGACTCGGAAAGAAGTTGGGATCAAAAAGGAACCAATCAGAAAAAGAAACTGAAAGTTCTAATGCTGTCAGGACTCTTGGTACCGGTTTCCAAACTTGGTACCGGTTCAAGAAGGTCAGAAGCCTTTTCGACGCAGTTTAGCTACCGATTCCCAACTGTGGTACCGGTTCAAGATTGGCAGTGACCAAACCCATTGTGAACCAAGTTTTGCTACCTGTTCAAGGATTCTTATACCGGTTCCCACTAGACAGAAAGGTATTTTCTGTTTCATTCAACCCTCTAAACTCCCTAAAGCATTGTTCTCACTCACTCACATACCTTCCTAAAACATTGTTTTCATCATCTCGGAGTGTAGCAACTCATGAACACTTGAACTTCTTCAAATTCGCATCGAATCTTCAATCTTTGAAATTTTGAACTGAAAAATTACAACTCGATCGGACTTGTTTTGATAACGAAATTAGCCAATTATAAAATATATCTCACAGAGTCCAACCAAAAAATAAAATATTCAATTTTCAGGATACTTCTAACCACATTTGTTCGGGTATCTGACAAGTACGGTGTTTGATACTGTCACGGCACCTTAAGAGAAATGTTGTGCTTTGTAGGATAAGATTGATTGATAATCATATCCATAAAAGGATTTGGAACAAGAAAATAGTTTTTCTCCTCGTGCAGGGAAGCTTGTGTACATATAATAATCCTTTGTAAACCTTATAAAGAAGACAGTCTCATCCGCTAACTAACCCTTGAATTAATTAGCATTATTTGAAGAGGTGAACTTTTGTACCTAGCATGTTGGATTCATGCCTGGACCGAGGAATAATTTCCCTAAATTTTTAATTTTTTTATTTTGGCAGCTCTATATTTGTCTTCCGTGTTCCATAGCCATTAAACTGTTTCCACAAATTTGGTCCTATAGAATATTCCCTGAATCCATCATGTTCACAAATCAAATACATTGCCGTTTCAACAAAGCAACTAAAACAAACTTACAACGGTCATCTGAACTGCTCCGGGGCTGGACCTCCTTAGAGTTAAACAATTGGCCTGACGCAAATGGTTTGGGCTTTCTGACCTTTTCATCTTTTGACAAGCCACGATTTGGAACCCGAAATGGTTTTGGGCTTCCTTTACCAAACCCTTTGTAAACCCATCAATGGATAAGTTGTAATTATTATTTTTTATTTATACCCAAATATATATATATATATATATATATATATATATATATTGAACATAGTCAGCCGATAAAATGCTGATACAATAACACACATTGGGTCATAACCATAACTGTAACATGAATTTCTGCAGGCATTTGTCCAATTTAGAGATGGACATGCATAGTGTCATTGTGATGCCTACTTATTAATACTCCTATTTATATGACACAGTCATGCAACCCAACAATAACCCAAAAGAGCACACATACAGAAAATCTAGAGAGAGAGAGACAGAGAGAGAGAGAGATGGCAGTGTCTTCCACCCATTTCATGGCTTTGGCAATCCTTGTGATTGTTGGGATGATAAATTTTGGCGACAGTATACTACCTGGCGAGTGCAAAGGTGACTTATATGCTTTCTCAGACCTATGCCACGAGTCGATTGTAAAGGCAGGGCCAAAGGTCAAGCCATCTCATGCATGTTGTGATATTGTCAAAACGTTCGATATGCCATGCATGTGCAAGAAACTCTCTAGTCATGACGAGACGATCGTTGCAGCGGCCAAAATTGTCTATGTTGCGGATTCGTGTGGCCACGCCCTTAGCCATGGGACCAAATGTGGAAGTAAGAATCTATATCTCTTTAATTTAGCCTATCTACCGAATTAGTTACTACACTTGTATATTTGTATACAATGTGTAAATTGTGTTAAGTACTATCATTGGGTCCAAAAACTTAAATTATTAAAGAGATGAAAGTTTAATAATTATATTTTTATCAATGGGATAGTGACCTAGCGGTATTATACCTTTATTTCTTAAAGGAGGATCAATGATTTAAATCTCAGTGTGTGTTAGTACCAACTGAAAAAAAAAATTATATTCTCTAACTACATTAGTATTGCACACTGTTGTAGTGCCACTATATTAGAGGGGCGACACTATAGTTTTCTTAACATGCATTTTGAGTTTTGAATTGTTTTTCCACGTTTGGAAATGTCCAAAGTTCCCAAAAAAAAAAAAATTACCTAATCTTAATGAGTTGTATGTTGTATTCGTGATAATCTCATTTATTTCGATGGAGAAGAGGTCCACCTTCTTATATTTTTACATATAGGATCTAAGCAGGCATGCCATATATAATGATTTCATTATTCACGAGATATAATAAAAGTGAGAACCCTCATAGTGAGGTCGATAACTAACTAGTTAGTTATATTCTATTATCTACAAATTTTGGAACGATCATGGTCTCGGCCTATATATTTATAAATGTACAAATTAGAAATATATTTCTGACTTGTCAGGGTTGCTTGGATGGCAGGATTCCGGAGTTATTAACTTGAGTTCGAGTTCTAGTATTTGTCAAAAAAAAATTGTTGGAACCTCTTTGTACATCGTTGTCTTGTTAATCTTTTACTTCTTTGCTGTTGCAGGTTACTCAGTTCCATGAGGCAATGTTACATACACATGTCAAGCAAAGAAATATCTCAACATGATATGAGCATACGCAATACATATAGTACCTACTGGTGGATAAATTTGGGTAGCCTCAGCTTTGTCCTTGTATTAGAATAATATTATTTCCCGATTGGAAAGTAATTTGAAGCAATACACTGCCTCACTATAATCATCCTTCTTGTTGCAAGTGGTTTTGTGACATTACCAATGTAATGTATATATCATAGTATCTCAATTGTACTGTGGATACTTTTTTTTTTTCTTTTTTCTTTTTTGTGCCAAAAGAGAAAAATAAAAATTGAAGATTTGATGACGAAATTATGAAGTCTAGTGGTGAGAGGAGAGGTGTAGACCTAGTGGGACCCACACCTGTTCTATCGGATTTCAGAGTTCAGTCAATCACAATTCCTTAAACCCTGTGTGAAATTTGGGATGGCAAACATTGTTGATAAATCCCCATAAGTAATACCAGTACTATATGCCCTTGAAACTATTGGGCATTAAAGACAATCATATTGCTTCTCAATCCTTTAGGCAGTTTGGGCTCGTTTGACAAAAGTGATTTTTTTTTAAGAAGAAAAGGAGAAATATAATTCATTAATGTTATTTGGTTTAAGCGTTTATGTTTGCGAATTGCGACTCTATTTCAAAAGAGATTTCAGTGCCGGAATAGTGTTTTTTTTTTTTTTTTTGGGCCTATTTGGTAGAACATATGCGGAAATTCAAATGAGGAGACAATTTTCACTAAATACCATACAAATAAATCATTCAACGTGATCAAATGAGGAGACAATTTTCATATATAAGAGCACATTGTGGTTAAGAAAAAGTTCACCTGCAGTTTCATCCCATCATTAATTAAAGAAAACAAAATGTTTATTACGGACCTCTTTACTCATTTTGTTTTTGGTATTTTTATATTTGTTGGGTACTATAATAGTGAACAGTGAAAACATGTAAAATTGTTTTGTTTTGGACAATATAACCAATTTGATATTTTATATGTTTTCTCATTGTAGCATTTGTTACTGTAGCGATTAACAGTATTTTTTATTTTTTTTGAAAAACTCTTAAAGGACATTTTAAAACTAACCATTATAAATTTATAACTTATAACATTTTTTTACAAAACATGTTTTCATGTAATCTTACAACATATAAACGCTACCAAATATGCTTTCGATTGCTATTTAAAAAACTCTAAAACAAAGCACTTGTGTTGTTTCAAGTTAAAACAAAATACCAAAAACAAAACAATGTACACAAATAATTGAACAAAGAAAGTTCACACTTTTCTAAATAATTAAATATTTAGAAAAAGAAAATTTAGTTGTAAGCACATATGAACAAAATAGGACTCTAAACTAATGAAGCCTTTGCTCTGTGGTCTGGAAATGCTAATCCAGCAATAGGCAAATGTTTCTTGAGGCTTATTACTTCTCCTTAATTGTAAACAAATTGTGTTGTTGTTGTCATGAACAAAGAAGAATGCAAATTGAATAGACATGAAATTCCTGTAGATAACCACCATTACCACATACCTCAAGCAGTCAAGCATACTAGAACTGTGACCATTTGTTTAGAGTCTCAAATTGCAAGCGTGAACAAAGTGACCGGAAAAATAAAATAAATAACGTTTAGATTGATGGCCATTGCAAAGTCAGATGTAGCATAATCAAAGGGTGTTGTATCCCATATTATGCACAAAGGAGACTAGGAGAGTATTACTTATCTAGACGTAGCAAGAAAGATTCTTCAATCTGAAAGGATTGCCTAACGAAAATTCGCATATATATATATATATATATAAATGAAAGGATTCGCTAATAGAGCTGGGCTAGAATATCTAAGAAGGGCTGTAGATGTGATATGGGGGAAGAAAAATTTTGCCTAAAATTTCTTGTTTTTTTTTTTTTTTTTTTTTTTTGAAAAATAAGATGAGATAATATTAATTGGTAAAAGGTTACATAATTGACAAAGTTTTCTTATCACTACGTTTCTTTGAAAGGAAAAAATGGTTAATTGCAGGAACTGGTTCATGCAGATATCAAGCATCATCAAATTTTTCATGACCAAATGTAAGTAGAATACCTGGAATGTGGTATGGTGGTTAGTAGCCTGTGACCGTCTGAGACGTTGGTTGCCCAGGACAGCTTCCAGAGGATATCGTTTTTGCAATGAGAGTTTTGTCAATGCTAAAGTTTAAGGAAGAGGAAGAAAACAAAAAAGGGGTTTTATATAGGGACACACTTGAAATTATATTTTTTTATCGAGTAATAGACAGGTACGTTTGAAATTTTAAAAGTTTAACTTAAATATCAATTTAGCGTTCCGTGTCTTTTTAGAAACACAAAAATATTTTTAAAGAAGTTTGTGAAACACCACTCAAAACAGATTTTAAAGCTAATCGAAATAGGGCGTTTTTATATATCTATAAAGTACTCTAGCTGCATGTTCATACAGGATGTTTGTAAAATGGCTAAGGTATTGCCACAAGCTAAGTATTCAAATTTTTTTGAGAGAAAGGCCTAAAACAAAATTAAAAATTAAATAAAGAAAGAGAGAGAGAGGATGTTTTCTTTGCTTTGTTTTTTTAGTGGTTTGTTTTGAAAATCTACCTTTTTTTGAAGAGTTATTCCATGCTCCTATTTAAGCTCCGATTGATGTATAAAAAGTCAGTTTTTGATGAATTTGGAATGATTTTTGAGGCTTTGGTTTTTAAGGAGGAGTTCTTCTTGTGATCTTTGCTTTTATTCTGGGTGAATTTCTTTGGATGGCAAGCTTTTCTATCGATTCACTTGTGTTATCAGATTTCACTAAAATAGAGCACAATAATTAATTTACCAACGTAATTCTCAGTTCTATTCAACACTGGCACGCCCCCACAATAGCATAGGTTAATCACACAAGCAAAATTCAAATTCAACTCATATGAAACCACAAGAGAGCACACAAATAGAGAGAAAAGGTCAAATGCATATATATATTGTTATTCGAGATATTAACTCCCTCCAACTCACTCAACAACGGTTGTTGTTGAAATTTAAATCCCTCATTCCTTATACATAGCAGAAGCATCATAATCACACAAGCATATATGAAGATAATAATGATACATATCCACGCACAAAATAAAATTTTACAAGGTTCACACAAATTTTAGGACTACTTTTGTAGAGAGATTTCGCTATTATGTATTAAGGAAGAGAATATACAATTAGGTATCAAAACCCACTTACTCGGTCACTCATCATATCTTTTGAGGCAACATCTATACACTAGCTCAGGAATTAAATATACTCTCCCCTCGAACAAAACTCTATGATAAAGTTAAGAAACACTCTAACAATCTCCACATTTTCTCAAATTCCATCATGCTCCTTTTTCCATCTTCTCTATCCATTTCGTTGCTGTTCAATTACTCACGTATGACAACATACCAATCTTCAAACTCATCCTCGTCAATTGATTTTTAGGCTCAAAGCAACACACCTTTCTTCTCCAGTACTCTTCATTGCTCTTTATCAGGCTTAGAGCAAATTCTTTCATTCTTCACACTATTCTTGTCCCATTTGAGAACTAGCACCCACCATCTAGCTTGTCCATAAAACTTATTCATCATGGGCTTCACACTATCAACATACATTCGTGTCATCATTGAAGCCTACCTGCATGGTATGGGATCTTGGAGGTCTAACAGGGATTTTCTCAACCAAAATCCTGCAGTCATGGCCTTCAATCTAGTGGATATCAATGGTGTTCCCAGATCTCTGATAGGGAGACTTCCTAGCTTAAATCCACATTTGTTGAGGAACAAATTCTGAGTTTCTACCATAACCCCTGAAGTGAAAAGTTGATTCTTAGGTGTTGTTCGATTACTCAATTCAACTTTTAATTCTGAACTAATTAAGCGAGTTTGATAATGCAATTTGTATATCACTTAAAACAATAAGCATTACTTAAAATGTGATAAAATTTTAATTAACACGAATGGGATAAAATTTTAATTAACACAAATATCACTTATCACTGAATGCTAAATAATGAAAATTTTACCAAAAATATATATATATATATAAAAATAAAAATAAAAATTATTTTAAATTACCACTTAAAATCTTCGCCGCTTAAAATTCAACTCTTAAAATTTTCAATACTTAATTTTTAATTTTATCAAATAGCACCTTAGAGTTGTTAGGAGAAAGACAAGACATAGTAGAGAATGTGTTAAGAGCCTTAGAAACCACGTGCAGCCAAGAGAGTTGGAGTTTTCATGAAAATATCATCAAATCATCTGCAAATATGATATGTTATATCTTGCTTCTCCTACACTTGCAGGTGACATATTTTAATATAGATAGAGAGTTGGAAATCCCACTAACTTTATGTGAGTAAGGATGGACATTATCACCACATCATGAATATTAAAAGTATTAGGATGAAATCAGGAGAAGATATTCAATGGCCAAGATGCCTCATCATTGGTATGCCCAATAAGTAGAAATACATCATTCTATAAAATTGGTCTCATCTATTTTTGAAAACTACTCTCAACTAATTGCTATATTGATTTTCATTGGCTGGTAGGTGACTTTGTATGCCCAGTCGTACCCAATATTTCATATATGCGCCTTCTCGATCCAGCAGTACTCAGCAGATATTATGCTCATGCATAACACATTACTTGGTCATAACCATAACTGTGACATAAATTTCTCCGTGCATTAGTCAGATTTAGAGATGGACATACAAAAGTGTCCTTGTGATACCTACATACTAAAACTAGTATATATGTGTGTGTGTGTAGATATATGTACATATATATGACATAACAAAGAGCACGTACACAGACAAACAGGAATCTATAGAGATAGAAAGATGGCAGTGTCTGGCACTCATTTCATGGTTTTGGCAGTCCTTGTGATTGCTGGGATGATAAATTGTGGCAAGTGTATAGATATAGATATGCCGTGCAGAGGCAAAGGTAACGTGTATGATTTATTAGACAAATGCTCTGATGCATTTGCATCGCTACATGTGATGCATTTGCATCGCTACATGTTGAGCCATCACAGGAATGCTGTGATGTTGTCAACACGGTGGATATGACATGCTTTTGCGAGACCATCTCCAGTAATCAAGATGTTCTCGTATCAAAAAAATTTGTGAACGTTTCGGATTTATGCGGCCAAGTGATTAGCCCTGGAACCATATGTGGAAGTAAGCATCATTAATCTCTTTCGTATATACAAATATATGAATATATTTGTACATTGTATATTCTCTCATACAATAGTGTCGCACGCACTGTTTTAGTACCACTATATTTACAGGGGTGACAAAATTTGGCTGTTTTGTTCCTCTCAATACTGTGAACATGGCAAGGGATACTTTCATGATCGATTTCACCTTCATTTGTATTCTATAATCTATAAATTGGAGTTAAAAGTTGGACAACTCCGACACTAATTTATGTGAGTGGGGCTGATATTATTGTGATGTCATTCATCTTCATAATATCATGATAATATCAGTCTTTACTCATATAAAATTAATCAAATTTACCCATTATATATCATTACTCTGTTTTTTAATTTGGTTGCTCAAGTTAGTATCTAAACCGAAGAATAGAACCATATTTTGCCATTTTTATGTACAAATAAATAAATAAATCTGTGACGGTCAGAATTTCAGTCCTATGCACAAATTAATAAATATTTTGCTTTTTGGTATTGCAGGTTACACAGTTCCATGAGGCGAGGTAAAACATATATACATACACATATAGTACTTACTAGTGAATAAATTTGGGCAGCTTGTCCATGTACTAAATAAAGATTATATAAGAAGGGAAGAGTATGTTGACACATGGCGAACATACTTTGAAGGTATATTTTATGTGTGCTATAAAGATATACTTTAAAGGTATATTACACCTTCCATTCTAAAATATTTGTTTATTTCTTTATTTTGAAATATTTTAAAAAACATGCAGCATTTCAAAATTGAATGGACTATTTTTTATAACATTCTCAAACTATCATTTTAACTAAATAACTGCACTAATTACAAAACATTATTTTGTCTTTTAATAAGATTATATTTGAAACTTGATTCTTATCAATATAATAAAAAAACATTAAAATTTCGCTACCATAAAAAGTTGAATTCCCCTTGCAGAACATGTATTTTGGGACGGATGGAGTATCAAATATAAAAGCTTTAAATTTTAAGCACTCATTCTTGTGGCAACACGATCGTCTAATCACACATGAATACACAATTTTTTATTAACAATTACGGAGAATAATGAAAATGGATAAAATAATGAGCCTTAGTTTACTAAATTCATTCTCAGTAATTCCTCAAACAAGAAGTAACAAAGAAACAAAACAACAATGACGAATAAATTGATGGAAAAGTAAAAATCTATAAGGACAATTATAAGTTGAAGATCAATACAAAATTAAATACCAAACTAAACAAATCATGACACTTAACAAAAACAAAAACTGGACAGAGAAGATCCTAATTTAAGTGGGTTTGACGAAAATGTACTTCCGATCTGCTACATACCAGAGCAATAAACAGCTTTCCGATGGTGTACCAATGGGTGTGTGTGTTGTGTGAGTTAAGTTCAAATGGTTTTAGCCCAAAGTTTTTGAAGTGAGTTGGAAGATGGAAAAGATGAGATGGAAGAGGTGTTCTTAGACAAAGAAAAGAGTCGCCTTGTTTGGTTGAAAGGAAAGCAAATTAATGATCAAGGGAATCATTGGGTTGTAAACTTGTATTTATGGACTGTTTTAGTGGGCCTCTCTTGGCCCAAAAGGTCTGGGCTACTAATCTGCTTAGAAATGCTTGGATCGTTCCCTATTGTAACATTGTTCGGGTCATAGATAATGTTGGGTCAGACCATCTTATAATATATTTAGGCCCTCTTTGGCGTGGCTTGGGGCTCCAAAATGGACTTTTAAGGGCAGGAAGGCATTCCATTAAAATGTGTGTGTTTGGTAATTTTTTTAAATAAGCTTCTCAAGGAAGTCCATGTCCTCAAAAGCCCGTTCAACGGAAGCCGTAAAATGAGGCTTTTGAATTCCATTTCTCCAAATCTGAAGATTTAGGTGATAAATGATGTGATCACAATTTTGACCCTACAAATCATAAAATATGTTCCAAAATAACCTTCTTTCTCCATTTTATTTCAACGGAAGGGATCTATGTCTCCGATCTTCTCTGCGAAGAAGACGGGGAGTTTCGGCACAGTAGATTGATTTTTTTTTTTTTAGTAGTGGAAGAGTCCAGATGTAAGCATGCAAGTATGTAAGCCCTGTGTTTATTCCTAATTTTATGTGTTTTTTAAGATGACAAAATTAGTCCTAATATGATTCATAATCGGGTCAAAATGTAACATAAATAAATATTATTTCAGAGTATTAGCTAAAACTTGTGGTAATTACAATTTTGTCACCAAACAGTGCCATGTAAGTAAAATCACTTTTGCAGTTAGAGTGATGTTAACCAAAGGCCTTTTTATTCTCAAATTCATTCCCACCAAGTCATTCTTGTAAAGGACTTTTCATTATGGATTTGCTTTAACTTCCTAGGAAAATAAAATGTGTTTATATCATTTTATTTCTCCATAATACACGTCAAATTAGTTTAGAAAAAGAAAATTATGCGTGACCATATTCAGTATTTTCAAGTATTCATCTCATTGTTTTGCTCAAGGAAAAATTTAGTTTATAAATAATCTCTTAGATTTTCTTTTATATTAAAGATCTATTCCAAGACTTCTATTGTCAAAATAATAATAATAATAATAAACATAAAATTTATATATATATATATATATATATATATATATATATATATGTTAGATTTTATTTTATTTTATAATACTACTTTTTTTTTCCTGATTTTTTTTTTTTTTAATACTAATTAGTCTACTTTGATTTTTTACCCGACATTCAACATTTATTTATCTTTCACCAAATTTATAATAATATGTATTATAAAGAATTAATATTTCATGATTTAAGTGTACACTACAACCAAATCAATCTTAAATATCATTCTTTTAAATTAGAACGGAATCAAATCAATTGAACTGTTAATTAAGCCCATATGACATTAATTAGGACAAAAATTTGAGTCCATTCTGTTTTACAAATTGATTTTTGTTTTCCATATATGGAGTAGAATACAAAATCTCAACTCCATAATCATATCTTTTTCCGATAAAATTAGTCTACTACTAGTCCAAATCCTACATGTAATAATTATCTAAATAGTTAATATTTTATTTGCGCTCTAGAGATACCAAAAATAAATATAGAAAGAAGTTGAAGAGGTTTTGACTACCCCTCTCTATCTTTCTGATTTCTCCATTCCTCTTCTTGACGCACAATTCTCTCTTTTTTCACTTTGCAAAATTGATTCATAAAATTCTGGGAAAAATACATATAAACGTATATGTTTGCTTGAAGAGGAAAAAACAAATCTTATCAGGATTTCTAAAAAGATTGAAGGTATGTATTCATCTTATATATATATATATATATATATGTATTCATGTCTTCTTAGAGAGTGAATTCGAGAGGAAGAATCAAGGAAGTAACAAAACAAATAAGAGAAATGGAGAAGTCAGATAGATAACTGATTCAATAATACCTCAAAATTTTATCCATGTTTATATACATAATGACGTGATTTATGGTTAAAAAAAGGAACTTAATTAAACATCAATTTTTGCATTATTAAATTATTCCATTTAAAATTGAGGGTCAAAAATTTCCATTTGTATAATAGAATTCTCAGCAACGAAACTTGCCTACCAAAGGTCACAACCTTTAGTTGGCGTGCCCTGATTGGTCAACGGAACAAAGGAGAAAGATATTGCATAACAGCTTCTTTTTTCCCTTAAAGTAGAAGTCGATGGTTCTTCCAGTTGGTTTTACTTATATGATTTGTCAAAGTAGCCGTTGCAGTACCCCTCTCTCTCTCTCTACACCCCCTCTCTCTCTCTCTAAAAATTAATTATGAACACCTGTTTTCCATAGATTCCACTCTAGATTTATTTGTTTTTGGTAGGTACCCTCCGCTCCATGGTAGTAGTTAATTTCTTTAGTATAAAACAATCCCCAAAACCTCAACTTTCTCCTGTATATTTCAATTCCTCTTCTCCACAATTTCACCCGTCTCTCTCTCTCCTGTCAAAAAAAAAAGAAGCAATAACCCTTCTTTTTCTTTTCAATAACAGAATTGAAGAAGACATGGTGAATCCAATATTGAATCCTCTTATTTCAGACAAGAAACTATCAACAACCCCATTGTTATCTGCCGCAACAACAAGCAGCAGCAGCGCCAGCAGCGAAGCCGACGACAGCCCTGTGACATCTGATCGTTTCGAGCCACACCTCCTCGCCAAACATCAAATTTCAAGCGTACCCTGTTCGGGTTTCTACTCGTATAAATCGCTGGCTGTGCTGTCGGGCCATATCGGATCGGTTTCGTGCCTGGCCTTGTGCGGCGAGTTCATCCTGAGCGCCTCGCAGGGCAAGGACATCATAGTGTGGCAGCAGCCTGACCTCCGGCAGTTCACGAAGTTCGGACAAGGCGACGGCTCGGTGAAGGCGCTCGTCACCGTGGGCAACAAGGTCTTCACAGCGCATCAAGACAGCAGAATTAGAGTGTGGAAGGTGTCGAGGAGGTCCGAAAATGTGTTCAGACTCGTCGACACTCTTCCCACTACTAAGGACTATTTGGGGAAATTCATGAAGCAAAGCAATTATGTACAGACTAGAAGACACCACAGGCGTTTGTGGATTGAGCACGCCGATAGCATCTCGTGCTTGGCGGTCTACAACGGGTTGATCTACTCCGGGTCCTGGGACAAGACTCTAAAAGTGTGGAGGGTTTCGGATTTGAAGTGTTTGGAATCAATCAAGGCTCATGATGATGCCATCAATGGGCTGGTGGCAAGCAAGGGGGTGGTGTATTCGGCGTCGGCGGACGGGAAGATCAAGGCGTGGGGGAAGGAGGGGAAGGGCTCACATTGCTTGAAGGGAATCTTGGAGGGGCACAAGGACATTTCGTTGAATTCAGTGATCGTTTCGGAGGACGGGAGGGTGGTTTACGGAGGGGGGTCGGATGGGTATTTGATGGGGTGGTTGGGGAATGAGGGATTTGATAGTTGGAAGATGGTTTGTGAGGTGAGGGCTCATGAAATGGCGGTTTTGTGTGTGTGTTTGATGGGGGAGTTTTTGTGCAGTGGCTCAGCTGATAAGAGTATTGGGATATGGAAGAGAGAGGTTAATGGTGGACTGTTTAGGGTTGGGGTCATTAGGGGTCATGAAGGGCCTGTCAAGTGCTTGCAGGCTTCACCTAGTAGTGTTGGAGGCGGATGTTTGCTTTACAGTGGAAGTCTTGATAAGAGCCTCAGAGTTTGGTGGGTTCCAAAGCACTCTTGTAAGGCTGAGGAAGAGAAAAATCCAATCATCTTGTGCTAGGAGGTACAATTTTTTTTTTTTTTTTTGAAAGGGTTGGGAATGATAGAGCACTGGTCCTTTTTTGTGTGTCTGCAGTGCAAGTTTGATAGTCGTGTCTATAGTCAATCTCAAGAATATTGAAAAGAGTATACTTTGGTTTAGAGTTTTGTGGTCAAGGTGGAGAGGGCCTTATCCATTTTGAAGTTGGTTTTTTTTTTTTTTTTTTTTTTTTTTTTTTTTTTTTTTTTTGAGTTACTATTGTGAATTGGTATAGGGGTTTAATATATTTTTAAAGGATTTGGGTGCAAGGACATGATACAATGTGTGGTCTTTCTTTTTTCTTTTTCTTTTTTCCCTCTTAATTTATGTATTGGTATAGATTTATATCCTTTGTGAACTGTGATTTAGGGCATTGAGTGATTCAATTCAATGCAATATACAATTTTTTTTTTTCTTTTTTTTTGTCAGTTATATATTGTTCTGAAACATACAATTAAGGCTCCAGATAAGAAGAAAGCATATGACTCAAGGTTTCATGGTGAATGCAGAATTACGTAACCAACAATGATGTTATGTTTGATTGCTTCGAATTGACAATTTGGCTGTGGAATTGAATAAAATTTAGATAAAATTTTAAATTAAATTTTCTTTAATCCTAAATTCAAAGTGTGGATTAAGTTCTCTCAAACTGTATAATCTATTAACAAATATATAATATCAGATCAAACCTAAAGAAAATTCACGAAATAAACTCAGTTTGGCCTTGGAATTGAATGAAATTTAGATACAACTTTAAACTAAATTTCTTATATCCTAAATTCAATGGGTGAATTCAGTTCTCTTCCACTAGACAAACTCAAGTTTGGCAATTGACTCCTTGGAAGAGCTACCAGTCACAAAATGTAGCCTCTAAATAAATAAAATATTTAAAAAATTATTTTGTTAACCACTTTCTAGAAATTTTCAAACCTGAGATGAATCCCCTTTTCCCATTCTACTCTACCAAGACAATGACAATTTTTTTTTTTGGGACAATTACCCGGATAAAAGTCTTATATAATTTTTATATAAAGAAGAAAACTTAAAAAAATATTTATATATAAGGTTTTTGTAATAAATTAAGGGAAAAAATAATTTTTTTTTTTTACAAAAAAAAAAAAAAAAGTCTAAATTGACAGGCTATATGTTAATTAAAAAAGTTAGGTTTTTAAAAAATTTGAAGGATAGGAGGAGGCCATGATGGGCCCCTGAATCTACATGTAGTTCCGGTCCCTTTTATATATATATATATGTGTGTGTGTGTTGAAGTTTACTGCCTTTTGTTCAATTCTTTTTTGTCTAATTGGAGACTTATATTTGCTTGGGACAAACCGACAAAGTTAAAGGCAAACCCTCTGAGAAGCTGTGAGAAAAGCCCAAGAACATGGCAATGCAACTTCAAGACACAGCATTGCTACCCCACCAAACAGTATGTATACAAATTTACATAGGATCCATGATTTGAGTGCTTCTTAAGATTCTAAGGAATCTTTCTTTATTTTTATGTTTCTTCTTATTACTATTTTTTCATTCTTTTCAATACTGTTTTTATTTTTTTTATATTTATTTTTTTATTTTTTTAATTCTGTCTTTAGCAAAGTGGAAATAGTAGTTGACCCCTTCGAGGACCACCCTCAAACTTAACAATATTGGTCTACCTCTTTTCTTTTATTTATTTCTCTCTCTCAATCATCATGAAAACATTTGTCTAGTCCATATGTAATAAAGGAAAATAAAATATAAAATATAATAAGGGATGTTGCTGAACAAACCCACCTAATAGAAATCTTTCACTAGGCTTTCCTCCCTATTAGTTAAAGGTGTTTTTTATTATGTATTTTATTTTTAATGACCATCTACATTTTTCCTATTTAATTATCTCTAAGTCTCTTGAAGGCTTTGTTTGGTAGAACGAATAAATGCTGGAAATGGTTCTTGACAAGTCGCAATATCATCATATTTTGACATTTTCTTTCATTAAAATCTTCAATCTTCCTTGTGATTTTTTTTTTTCTTTTTTTTCTTTTTTTCTCCGTCTTTTCAGCAAAAAAAAAAAAAAAAAAAAAAAAAAAAAAAATCTCACAATAATCTTGCTGAGATTTGAACTCTTTATTTTTTATTTTGAAAGAAAATGAGATAATGTTGAGCTTTTAAAAGAAATGAGATGTTAATGGAGGGCAAGCCTTGGTGATGGAAATTGACTTGGTCAAGTAGCTTGATGTAGGTTGACTCTTGATGTGCTAGTGTAGCATTTTTTTTTTGTGAAATTTGATTTTTTGTATGAATGATGTAATTTGACTATATTAGATGTATTTTTGGAAGAGAGATGTTATAGAAACTCAATTGCATCTTTTAGACTTCCTATATGATTTCTACTCTATCGTTTAGTCATTTTATGTTTGTAATGGCATGATTCGTAAAACTATGTAATGAGGCCAAAATGGCCATTTCGTTTATTCATGTATGGTGGAGACCGTGGCGTTGAATTCTAAAAAAAGGCCATGGGAATTTTCGGTCGACAGGTTGCCCTTGACAGATATCCCATTTTAATTCAGACAGTAAGTTAGGTTTCCTCGATTCATCATTTCGGTCGAGTGAAGCTGAGCTTTGGTCGACCACTTTGACCATTTCGATCTGCCGGTATACTTAACGGTTGACCAAAACCTACCCAGTTGGGCAACCTTGTGTGGAACCCTTGTGGGTCTAGTTCATGACTAGAATTGGACAAGAGTGAGAGTAGTAGGACCCTTGATGATGTTGAGGGCACAGTTGCGCACATTGGTTAACCATTTTTCATGATAGCTTCTGCACTTGGGACTAGGTTTAGAGTTCAATTTATCTTTCCTTTATCAAGAACCATGTTTAGCCTACACACACCGACTTAATCATCCTATATAATAATTCAGACAATAAGTTAAGTTTCCTGAATCCATCATTTCGATCAAGTGAAGCTGAGCTTCGGTCGATCGCTTTGACCATTTCGATCTGCCGGTATAATTAACAGTTGACCAAATCCTACTAAGTTGGGCAACCTTGTGTGGGACCCTTGTGGGTCTACTTCATGACTAGGAATGGACAAGAGTGAGACTAGTAGTACCCTTGATGATGTTGAGGACACGTTGCGCACATTGGTTAACCATTTTTCAAGATAGCTTCTGCATTTGGGACTAGGTTTAGAGTTCGATTTATCTTTCCTTTATCATGAATCAGGTTTAGCCTACACGCACCGACTTAATCATCCTATATAATAATAAAAATAGATCTCACAGAAAAATAATAAGTGATCCGAGAGAGCTGTGTTTATCTTGATGATTTCATCCCATATAATAATAATAATATCTTCTATTACTTATATAAATATAGTCAGATATGTCCAATTTTCGAACCGTGTACCACAACCCCAATCTCATAAATCTATCTACTACTCTACCAACAATGTTTTTCCCTCCCTTTTGGGACCTTGACCACTTTCCTTCGGGTTGGAACCCCCAAAGCCTCAAAAGAGAAAGGAATAGTTTCCTTTAATTATTCCCAATTATGGAAGCAAGCAACCATCTCATACCAACACCTAAAGGAGATGCTGCTTACCAAACCTTTCCAAGAAACTGTTTAAAATTGTCTTTGTATCCTAATCTACAGCTCCAAACATCATTCCTCCACACACTTTTTTTAATTATTATTTTAATATAATTACCAAATCAATAATCTGGTTTTCATATAAGAACTCTGAGTAAGTGTATGTGCATATGTATGCAATTTACCATGTGTCAGCTTGTGTATACAACCATGTATTTTTAAGTGCAAAAATGTAGAAAATATGCATGGAGTAGTTTTTTAGTTAGAAAAGATGTGCCTAAACAATCTAGCTAGTCAGACTAGAAAAACCCAATTTAAACACAAATCATGCCTAGAGTTGTATTGATAGAACTCTCTTAATGTTACACTTCCTTAAGAACCATTTTGCACAGGTGCAAAAGTTTATGCCTAGAGTTGTACCAGTAGAAGTTAGATATTTTATGGTGTAATTTTTTTTTTGGGTAAGTATTATCGTGTAATTTTATATCCAGTAACTTATTGTATTAATACGCAAGTGCCTTGTTGTCTTAATAGTTGGGTAGTTTCCCGTGTCTGGGAGCCTGTATCCGAGCTTTGCACCATCCTCCTCCCCTAACAACTAATCACTAACCATTAACATTCTTGTCTTGAAAAAAATAAAAATTTAAGCACGAAATTTACCAACAATTAAAACTACTTAAGTTCTATAGTTATATATGTATATATATGATGAACCACCACCAGATGAGCTTTTAGGACAAGTGTTCTAAAACATGGCAATGCTACTCCAAGACATGGTATTGCTATACCCACCATAATTGGAAAACAATACTCCATGTTTTAAGAAATCCAAAGGGTTAACCACCCTACAAATAAAGAATATGAAGTGCAGGACTTTGCTTTAAGGATATTTTGATTAAGGAACCTTTCCCATGATTTGATGATTCTTTTCAGTTCATATATTATTTATCAATGTATTTGTTTGCCTTTTGTTTCTTGCTAAATGGGGGAGAGAGTTAATGGTTGTCCTATGTACGAGGACCACCTCCAAGTTCAAAATTCAGACCAATGGTTTGGTCAATGACTCAATGGTTTGGTCGTTTGTTTATTTTTATTATTATTATTTTTTAATGAAGTTTGTTGTCGAGAAAAAATAATAATTTGGAGGTGTAACTATCGTAGACAACTTGAGGTTTACTCTGGCTGAATTTTAGATATAAAATCTTCAATTTAAGTCTAACCTAACCCGGCCTTCATATTCAAATTTTTTTAACTTGGATTGAGCTCGATTAGAAAAATTATATTGAAAATTGAGTTGATTTTGAATTTAGTTTCTGTGCTCTACACATAATAAGTAATAAAAACTGAATGTAAGTAGGTAAAGAAATTAAATTAATTAATTCCCCAAAGGATTAATATACAATAAATCAATATCTAAAGAAAAGAGGTTCATCATGATTATAAAAATGTATTAAATATTTTGAATTATATATATATATATATTGGAATAAGTTAAAATTTCATATCTGAATTAGTTACTAATACCCATGACCCTAAATCAACTGAAGATCGTGTTGATATTTTTCAGTCTAAACTTAAACCTAAGTAGTTGAAAATTCCAAAATTGCTTCGTTTAGTTTAAATTTATCTCCCCGAGTTGCAACCCTATAAACGGGCAGTTTTGGTGAGCAAATTTCCTCTCCCCTCTCTCTCTCTATATGTGAAATAATTTATATTATACTGGAAAGTATTTTGGACCGACTTTCATAAAAAACAAGGCTCACATACATTATAGTTAATTTTATAACTTGTTACCTACAGGGATTGCATTGTAAATATGCCCCCCTCATATACATTTT